TCCAATATTTGGTCGGATGCCTTTAATATATAACATTACGGGATCGCATAATTGGTGTAGAACTCGACTGAAATTGTGGTCGTACTGGTTCGAGCTTAACTGCCCCCCCCCCTGATGAGGTTTGCTTGAAAATTGCAGTGGAAATATGATACGTCGTGCATCTCAGGGGACTTTATCGTCCAGTTTTTTGCGGACTGTTTTTTGTTTGCTGAATCCTCTTTTACGTATCATCAAAGAAGCTGATTCGCTGTTGTTCGTATGGGTGGAGCCAGACCTACTGTACCGTTGCCTTGCGCCTTAGGAAGTCCTAGAAGGACATCACAATTAGTCATGGGTGTATAAGCTAAAAGTGATAAATAATTAATAGCAACTCAGTAGAAGCTATACAGCAGCATATGATCTTTGCAGAGGAACACAAGGTTACGTTGACAACTTAGCCCAGAAGGAAATACATCGATTGGCTGAGCAAAAACAACAAGAGAAGCAGCTGAAGAAGAAATTGAAACAGCAAGGTGAGTTTCTTTCGAATGCCTTTCGAGGGCCAAATACGGCACTCGAGGTGATTTCGCTACAGCCTTGGCCCATTTTATTTGCAATGAGCTTATCTTATTCAGGCAAAAAAGCTCCATCACCGACGTTTGACCCTGACCAGGAAGCGAACCTGGACCGAGCTGCACAAGAATTGGCGATGAAAATGGCCAGCATGAGAACTGATCTCGCGGTGAGCTCTTTTGGCGATAATAGGCTTCAAGCGGGGGGGGTCTTACACCTGTAGGCGTTTGTCAATGTCTGTGATTTCTTTTTTCTGTCTTTTCAAGGCGGTGTTTCATTTTGGTAATCCTGTAAATCTGTCAACTACCCCGTAAACTCCCGTCAAGCTCATAAAGTAGTACGGCACTATTAACCCTTTGGTGCCCCAACCTTCCAATATCAGGCCCGTTTCTGACCAAATTTTTTCTGCGTTGGCAGAATTGGCTAAAAATTTGTCTCCTGAGGTAGTCCGACCTCCTGAACACGAATATCACATCCGCTCGACCCGAAACCTCCTGGCGCCCACGCTACAGGCGCCGGCGCCAAAATACCCCAAATCACGGCGCCTGTGGCGCGGGCGCCAGGAAGTTTCGGGCTGAGCGAATGTGATATTCGTATTCAGGAGGTCAAACTACCCCAGGAGACAACATTTGAGCCAAATCTGTCCACGGAGAAAAAAGTCGGTCAAAAACTGGCTCAATTCTGGATGGTTGGGGCAGTAAAGGGTATGTAAATAGTGCCAATAGTACTAACGGTATTTAACCGTCATTGCTCCATTTTCTTCCAAACCCGACCAGTCACTTTGACATGTTTGACAGGAGTTGCGAGGTGCTCAACAGGTGATAACAAGGTTCACAGGATGCTGACTAGTTTGCCCGCTATGTACATGTACAGGGGGGGGGGCTGCAAAAAAAGACACTTTGGCGAGTCACATATCAGTAAAGTTTACGCAGCCCAGATAGAAGACGTGGATACGAGTACCAGGGCGGAAGATACCCAAGATGTTCCTCGATAAGCAGGAGCAGGCTCTCGTCCATCACCTTCATGTACACCAAAATATGAAGTCATCTCCAATCGCAGCCTGACTGAAAAAGGCCTATGGAATTCACATCACCTTCCAGACAGCTGCGAAACTTCTTGTATGGAATCACACATGGACAGCTACTGTTGACTCAGCACTCTTGATCTGAAGACCCCAACATCGAGCAGCCACGTCGCTATGGTCCGGGATATCATTTTAATGATATGGTTCTGGTATGAGAAGACCGATATTGTCTTCGTGAACCCCAGACTAGAAGTGATGACTGTTACATCGAACAGCTCGAGAAAACATCCTGCCCTCATGTCGTCGCATGTCGCCGTGAAAAAATGGTGCTGCTATAGGATTGGGTGCCAGCACATAAAATCGGAAAACTCTCGCCTACTTGGAATGGAAGGGCGTTGAGTACCTGAAGAAGAGAAATATCCAAGTGTGTCACCTGTCCCAAACCCCCTCGATTACCAGGTTCGGGCGGAGCTCAACAGGGTGGTCTACAGTGGCGGAGAAATCAACGACCTCGCTGAACTCAGGCACCGAATCACGGTCGCGTGGCAGAATCTCTCGATGGCGTTCGTCCAGAAGGCTGTGGCGGAGTTTCGTGATCGTGTGCAATGCGTTGTTGAATTTGATGGTGAAAATGTCCAGAATCCGGGCTGGAATTCAAATATGTGTAACTGTGAGGGCATCGTTGGTCAAGATTGGCGGGTGGCCAAAGATGCGGGAAGAGATCAGGAAGCGACGGCGCGGCCTGGGTGGTCAGCACTGACCACCGTAGGTCGCGCGGGAAAGTCGCTATAAAGTAGCCCTCGGGGCATACTCGAACAGGTTCATCTACAGTCTGCCTACCTGCCCTTCTTCTGCTCCGCCACGCCGTTCTACTTCTTCAACCACCTAATTCGTTCTTGCTAACCACCTGTTATTCGTGTTCTAATAAACTATTGTTATTCGTCGAGTCCTCTGACATTGGGTGAAACGGGGATATTCTTCAGAAATGAGGAAGCAACAAGCCGACATAACTTATATCGCCTTGAAAGTCGTGGGAGAAGTGTTTTTTTTGTCCCCACTCCCCCTCCTTCCCTTTACAAAGCTTACAGTAGTTGCTACCCCGACAAGTGTTACACGTGTGGCCCATCCCAGGGTCACTGGCATCTCAGAGTCCCTATTTTAGTTTGCATAGAATCGCTTTTTCCTTAATGTGTTTTATTTTTCATTGTATTTATTCGTGCTTTTTAGAAGGCATTGTTTTTGTATTTTCTGTTCCCCAATTCAGATAAAAACCTTACTTACAGGAACTCGAACAAGCCAACGGCCAGCATCAGATAGTTGCTCCGGGATGAAGATTGAGCGTCATGATTTCGCTATCTGTAATTCCTCCTGGAGAAGGTGTACTGTTCCCGCTTTAACGCTTCTTTTCCATCATCTACAGCTTGATTTTTTCGCTAATGGGGAATTAGATTCTTCTTGTTAACAGTGTTCAATTCCAGAAGTTCCCTCAAGGATGCCCAACAGGATTCATCCGGATCGGTTGAACTTCCTGCACACCTTAATGCAACAAAGTGACAGTGTATCGATCCAGATTGGCGATTCGTGGTAAGGGATCAGCTGGAACTTTTCTTCCTTGACGTTTGAAAAAAAATACTTTATTGGTTCGCCCTTTTCGAGACTTCGATGCGTATCCACATCCATCCTTTCCCCCCTAGGCTCCAGGGAACAGGAGAGTTGGCTTATTCCATACAATAGGGCGTTAGACCCTTGATTGGGAGGGAGTTGCCACAACAGGATTTTCTTCAATTGTTGCGGCGGAGGATGGCATCACTGGTGGGAATGGGCCGCTCTGGCAGCCCCCCCCCTATTTCTGAAGTCATTTCATTTATTGGGAGGCAGAAACAACGTCGAACTCGCTATAGCGCCGATCGTCTTCGCTCCATATGTCATACGTCCTACGGAGGTGGAAACATTAAAGGCAGAATCGGTGATTGGAGTCCTAGATACCAGTTGACTTAGCAACGACGAAAAGTGAAAAGAGTACAAAATCGTAGGAGACGCCCTGAATGAGGGCCAGGAATAGGCGAGAGGTCCTAGGACGTCAAGAAGTGGAAGGATGAGAGACCACAAAAATGACAGGGACCGCAAGTTGGTTCCAGACAGACCATACGGAAAGAGAGGGCTTACAAGACGCCGACATATCTGGTCTCTAAAGCTTTTACGGTTGACGGATTGTGAGGACCACAGTGCCCTAATTATTCACGAGCGCCATCGCGAATTATGAACGCTGCCTTACCTATCACTTCCTTCCCATTGAAATTTCGCGACTGTCGTACCAAATCCGAGAATTTTTCTTTGCAGGGAACCGGAAGATCCGAAACATACGGGTCCAGCATGGGCGGACTTCGAGTCTTCGGCTCCTGAACTACCACCTAGTGAGAGCGGTTTCTTCAGCAATAAAGTGAGCATTTCTTCTAATAAGAAGTATATTTTCACTTGCAAGCTGTGTTAATCCTACGTATCGCATCTTGTAGTATTTTCGAACTTGGATTTTTGAGCTTATGATTCCTGTGCTGACAGGAGTTCAGGAAAAGCCTTAGGAGGGTCCCTGAAGCCTATACTCATACGACCAGGTTTCATTACGAGCACCAGCAGCGAATTAAGTATTTGGAAGCATGTTCTGATAACTTTAGAACATGAATTGAATGGTAAATAAACCATATAAAACAGCGCAGTGGGAAAAATTATGACACACCATGTGTGTCACGCGGTCTGGAACTCAAAAGTTGGTCAGATTCAAAACGGGGGTTGAGTTTCAACTCAAATGCTTGTCTGGCCGAGGAGTCCAAATGATTGAGAATTAGCTTCCACTTGTAACACTTCTAGGACAGCAACAATGCAAATGATCTATCTACTCAGGATAGCTATGATCCATTCATCATCCCAACCCAGTTCAAACCGGAAAAGGATCCGTTTGCACCTCCTGATAAGGACCTTATAGATGAGGTACGTTACTACTAAACGTAAGTAGTTCCTTACACTCTTCATGAAATCCATTTTTTAAAGGACTACGATCCGTTTGCTGTACGGCCGGTGGAGGACATTGTAGCCGATGCTAAAGCCAAGGCTGAAGAGGCTCGTTTGAAAAAGGAGGCTAACGACGATGTGGATTTCTTCGGAGGAACACGGTATCCACTCGAACTTCTTTTATATATAATTCCGCTTATCTGTTTTACAGTCTTTTATTTGTAAGTTTTTCGGGTAATTCTAGAGGACTGCTCGGAACGGGAAGAGGGCTAACAGCTGTTTCAGCCGCTTACGCTGGTGCGTGTCTGTGGGGCTGGGTTTGGCGCTGCCCACCCCTCTTTTCGTTTGAGCAGGCAAACGAGAACTATTGGAGAAACCAGGCTGGTAACGCGCTTCATTTAGCCTCCCCTATCGCGTCCGATCTAGCGTCCGCAGCGGGAATGCCTACACAGTGAAACGAGAAACGGAAAAGAGTGAATTGAGAATTTCCCTAGCATTCCTCCAGACGCTCAGTAGGGCCCCCTTCTCCCTCAGCGGTACGATCTCTGTAATGGAATCCGTCCATCGATGGTGTACCCTTCTCGTGCGTCCATCATCTTCTCAGTTTCAGGCAAAGTCCAGAACTGTCAACGCCGACTCCGGAAGGGGGTAGCGCCGTCACTAGTCCATCTCATCGTCCAGATGCGTTTGAAGACGATTTCAAATGCGAGGTTCGAAATGAAGATGGTTGGAATTTGGCAGTTATTTACGAGGAACGATTTCAGGGTATGGACATGGAGACTCCAACCCCGCTTTATGACGAAGACGATTCGGAACCGCTCACCGAATTCGCACCGAAGTTTGCGGGTGATGGTTGGGAGCTGATGGTTAGGTATGGACGTTCACTGATATTCTCTGGGAAGTTTTCTAAGTATGGACCAATAATTCAGACATCCTTTGAAAAAGAAAACGTTCATGGCCGATCGTTTCTGGAAACCGTGCTATGTTCGGCTGAATGGTAACAATCTCCTCGTCTACAATTCCAAAACCGACCCAAAACCGATACAGGTGAGTTTCTCAATTAAGTAGGGTAGGAGAAAACAAATGCGGTTCTAGGTAACTAAGATTAGGGAGAAATGCGTACGGGGAAAATGGTGATGATCAAGGAAATACAGCGAATGTTCATTCGTAGCTTTCGTCAATGAGCAGTACTGGCCACACAACCCTAACCATGGGGGAAAGGATGCCGGATCAGGGAGGCGAACGCCGGAAACTACCCGTCCTGGCGATAACCTAGCTGCTTGGCTTCGGCTTACTGTATCACTACCAGTAGCGTACTGAGGCCATTTCGAAACGCAATTTCAAAACGCTTTCGTCACGGCGCCAAATCCGATCTCCTGATACACACTCTTTGAGAATGAATGACTTGGATGGGCAGGGAGCAAGGTACAGCGTCGTTGGGAAAATCAACGTTGGGAAACTACTGTGCAAGTAATTAAGTTTAATTGATGTTTGGTACTCGATTGGTGGCGAAGCGCCCTCCATTCCCGCCTCGCCTCAATGGCTTTGTTCTTGGAGAACTGGGAATAATTTTTGGAAACTGAGAAGAACGCGTGGAAAGCTGAGAAGCTGGGAGCATTCGGATTACGTGTGAGCATAGGATGGCGAAAGGTGAACTGGAGAGAAATACAGGAGACCGCAATGTGGTACCGCCATTTCACCCATCCCTATGCTGCACTCTGACAGGGAGGAACTGAGTGCACAGAGGAGCACCGCGTTAAGCCCACTGTGCTAGTGGTGCTTCAGAGGTACTGAATAGGCTATGGTCATCTAGGGCAGAATCCCTCGCATACTAGTGCTAATCTCCCCAGTATCTTCACTTTGTGTGGGACAGGCCTTTATCTACGGGGGCCCAGAATCTTAATCAGTGGCCCGGAATTCGAACGCCCTGCCTATCATTAAACAGTTTGCTCCGGTGTGGGTTTCTACTTGCATCCAGCACTAATATCTGAGGATCTCCATTGTGCCGTACTTGTGGCGGCGGCTCCCGAGGTGTCTGGTAGAAGTCGTGAATCGGGTAGAATCCTTAGAATCCTCAAAACGGGCAAACACCCTCTAAAAGCTCATTTCTATTTATTCAATGGTTCCAAGCCGCATCTATCCATCTCAGACGAGCCTCGTCTGCATACTGTCCACAATAGTCCTTGGGGCCGTAGTTGCCACCTGGTCATTCCTTCTTTTGCGTGCGCGCATCATGCACCCGTGTTTAAGGACGGGAGGTAGCGAAGAAAGCCATTTTTAGTGATCCCTTCGATCCGCTATCGCGGATGTACCTTCATTGAAGACAGTAAACAATGAAAGCATGCGGAACATCACAAATGGTGACGCTCATAAGACCTAGAAAGTAAATGTTCCCATTTAGGAACTCCTACTTCAAGCCAGCTATTCACTTTCGGATATCACCTTACAAGCATACGATGTCTACGGGAAGATTCACACAGTTAAATTACAATATGTTTTGTATAAGGAAAAAGTTGGCATTCGACCAGGTTTGTCTTCAATTAGAGCCAAAAGCGCACTCCCACTCGCGAGTGGGAGGTGATATTGCTCTTGCGCCACTTTCAATTGTTTTGTGGAGCCAAGTAGAGGTTGTTTGGATAGCTGTCGTCTTTTAAAGCTGAAGGATGGCAAGCTAGCAAAAGTGCAAAAAATTGCCCCCTCCTTCCCCTGACCAAAGTTGAACTGGGCCAAACTCAGAAATGTCATTACAAGGTTGTTGATTGTCCCACTTCTAGGGCAGATTTCTCGTCTCGTTGATGGTCACATCACCAAGTATGGGTTACCCTTGGAGCATACCGCTCAATGTACGGTCCTGCTGAAGTTCGGTTCGCTACTTTATGGTGAACTTCAATCTTTTGTGTCCACCATCGAGGATATCCTGTTCAAATGCCCGGCTAGGCGAGATACCAAGCCCGTGTACAAGCAGGATGAAGTGCAGGTAGGCCAAAGATTTTTAGCGCTCAGCGCTGCAGACATAAGGCCCGCGAGTGGACATAAGATTCGGAAATTTTGCAGATTCACTGCTACGACGAGTATTCCGCCTATGTCGATAAGGAAGGCATACTGTCGGATCAACGGGCCAGAGTACGACTTTTCTGCCTGGCTTTTGTCACTGGCTCTCCATTTTTGGAAATCGGACTGAACGATAGGAGAAGGCAAGGAAAGGTGAGGAACTTGACTAATGAGAGCTGTAAGACATTAGGTCCGCGTTGCGGCGGTGTGGCGCAGGCGATGCTGCAGGTGGCCACGTGCGCGACATTCAAACAAGACATAATTCGTCCACGTAGAAGCGTTGTAAATGTGTAGAATTGGCAAGCTAGTAGGACGTTTTACGCGGTAAGGCGGACAGACAAATCGTATTGGTTGCGCAGTCGCGCGGGCGTATCGGGCGGCGATTTGTGTCGTAGTCGATTGGAGTGGCGGAACTCGTCTGAATTCAAGAGCAGACAGCACTCCATGACGGGCGAAATAAAACTGTCCTGTCTCTTGCCATTCGCTAAGCAGGACAACTCGTCCAACTTGCGCGTCACCGCTCGCCACGCCCACCAGCACGACATTTCACGATTGCATTGTCACACCTAGGAAAAATACCAACTAGTTCACGTCGCCGCAACATGAAACTAAAGTCCGCCTGAAAACACGAAATCCAGCTGTTTTTCAGGAAATTGTAAGACGAAAAGACATTCTGCCGATGTATACGGAGCGATGGATTCGATTCGAGGATGTTGAGTTCCACTCAACCGTCGACAAAGCAGCCTTCGAATTACGAGCAAGTGCATCGACTGAAGATCACGGATGCGGGTGCTTCTTTGAGGTAAGCCCTTCACCTGAACCTCCCACCTTGTGCTGGGAGGAAATGCTGTCGTCGACCTACCGCATTTTCAGGTTATGCGGTTTCGTATTCGCCCACCGAGGAATCGAGAAAAAGCTATAACCATCAAAGCAGTCATGAAGATTGCCGGATCGAAGGTATGTAAAAACAAATTTTTTTCTCCTCTATATTGAAAACGCGCTCTCATATCTGCGGGCTGGGATTCGTCAACCTCACCTCACTCATGAGTCCCAGGGTTGACGAAATAACACTGCCTCGGGAGGTCAGGGAAGAAACGAGCCGTCTGCGTTTTGCAGTAGTTTTTCAAAGGCTATCTATCTCTTCTTTTCTCATTTCTGCGGCACACACCCTAACCATGTGGGAAAGAATGGTCGCCCCAAAGAAGGGAGCGCTGTGTTGGACTCAGCCCGCCAATACGACGATCGTGGAATATATCCTCATACGCGTAGCTCAGAACTTTTCCTCGTTTCCTCTTTTGTATTGCATTGCTTTTCCAAAATATTGGCTGTTCCTGACAGCAGGTAATTCAGCAGCGACCTGCAATGTATGGTTTTTTTTCCGCTAGGCAAGGAACTCGGTGGGAGGTGATGATATAATGTTCGAAAGTCTCGATAAGGGTTCATGGGACGTCCTTTTCCCCGAATTGGCTGCTAAACGGAATGGAAGGAGCGGTTGCTTGAAGCGCAGGGCGAACTTCGAACTTTCGAACTTTAAAATTTTTTTAACTTATTATGATATGATTAAAAAGAAAGGCAATACACAACAAAGATGGATACCGGAGAGGAAGATGAATTACTTTTTTCATTATATTATTATATATTGATATGATCAAAAAAGAAAGATAATACACGACAGGATGGATACCAAAAAGGAAGGTGAATTACTTTTTTAAATGTTATCTTTCATATGAATATACAAGTATACATAAATGAAAAAAGTTGTTCAATTCGTTCAATACGTATCAGAAAATATTTAAAGTACTTAAAAAGTCAAGAAATGTATAAAAATATTGATAATCGAATCTGGAGATTCCTCCTTTCCTTACTGATGAGCACGGAGGAGGAATAATAAAATTTGTTCAATTCCCGTCTAAGGGCACGTGCGAAACGGGAATTGAGCTATCTCTTTGACCTTCCCCCACACAAATTTATAGAGCATTCAATATGATTTTAAACACAAAAATTCATGGTTAAAATCTACAAAAAACTCACAAGATAATAATGTTATAAAGATTAATAATAAAAGACTAATAAATAACTACAAAATTGGATTTCTTAGAAAATAAAAGACAATTACAAAGGATAAAATATATCAAAAGCGAGTCACTATTTCCGCCACCGAGTTGCTGGACTTCAGCATTGCATCGTTTGTGAACTAGGGGGATTATCTGTTTACCCTCGATTCACTCTCCCCACGCGCCTCCTCGTTTATAGGATAACGACTTGTCATTGTGATCCCGCTACGCAATGTCGAGCTCCCACAGTGCATTGCCGCGATTACTTCCATCGAATCCCTGTTACGTGTATAGATATATATTGGGACTTCCCATGCAATTTATCGATGTAGGTTCGTCTATATTTCAAGAACAGTTTAATGATGATAGCTCATCCCCAGCGAAGACCATTTTCATATTTCACTTTATCCAGTCGTTCCACCCGTTCCATGGTAATGAGCGGGGGGGCGGGGGGGGGGGGGGGGGGGGGGGGGGGGGGGGGTGGGGGGGGGGGGGGGTGGGGTGACCTTTGATTTGTAGGTGGAGATACGTATTGAAGCGATGGCAGCCGCGCAGATTGAGAAAACTCGAGGAGGGAAAAGTACCCGGAGACAAATCCCATGTGAAGATATTTCGATTCGATTTCCCATTCCAGAGGCGTGGATTTACATATTCAGGTAAGTATGCTAAATCTCTTAGGAAATACTTCGAAAGGATGTAAATTGCTTGATGTTTTTATGAACATTCCAGTCATAGCAATAAGATTGCGATGGCGAGGAGGGGTTTTTTTGATCATACGACGTTAAATTTTCTTGAGTGGGGGGGGGGGGAAATAAAAAAGGTGGTATTTTCCGTGACGAACGTGCCCTTGGACGAGAACCATATGAACAAACACTTCGAGCTATAAGCTAGGAAAAGAGGAAAACGAACCGAAGTGTGATAAGCCTGAAAATTTTTTTATTTACCCTATTATTTTTGCCCAAATTTGTCATTGGAGCAGTTCGGCTTGGTGGGTGCGTATCCAAATTAATATTCACGCGAACCTAACACAAGAAACACGTTGTGAAAGAGCTGTAAGTTTCTTTAACTAATAGAGCAATGTCATAGCAAACTTGATAACTCAAAAAGCTTACAGGTCCCATCAAAATTATACCTGTTAGTTAACATGAACTAGCTAAAGGAGTTAGGGGAAGTGCAGGTGCCCCCGGAACCAAATAGCGCAACTCTTTCATGTTTCTGCACTATGGAAAATCTCTAGATTGATTATGCATGTTATAAATTACAGAAGGATAGGGTTAGGGGGAAATTCACAGAAGGATAGAGTTAGGGTTTCAGCCACTGGTCAAATCCTTTGTGGGATGCGCGGCCCATTTTGCTCCCATTCAAAACAGTAGCGGCTTTATGAATGCGAATTGGCCTATACCATTAGCTATATGGCGGAACCAGACAACGTACAGGCGAAGTTCAATATCTGCCGTCGGTACTCATTTACCGTTTCCCGGAAGGGTGAAAAGGCACGGGTTTGGCATGGCCCAGGACCGACGGCGCGCCATATATAACATTTTCACTTTAAATTCACACTTTTCCACAAGTTATACTTTTCAAACAAAATGTCACCACTTCCTAGACTAAGGCACTTGCCAACCTAACCACGCCAGACACCACTACGAGTTCCCGCCCGTACGATCACGCCCACTTTCTAGCGGCGGACAGACAATTTTCAAAACTCAATGGGCTGACTCCGCGCCATTCTTTGAAGCTTGTTGTGCGAACTTCAATTCTACATAATTTTTTCAGTTTTAATTTCACATCCACTCTTCGCACGACGAAGGCACTCGTAGACGCGCATTCATGCACCGGCAATTTAGCTCCGCCCCTTTGGCCACGCCCACTTGCTGTGTGCGAAACTATGATATTTTTTTCAAAATTTTTGCATTTTTGGACTGCCCCGTTAAGCCCAGCACTACTAGAGCTCCGCACTGTGAGGAAAGCTCCGCGCCACATTTATCAAAATGTGCAAATCGGCATATAAGAGCTCCTTAGGCTTGATTGCTAGGGTCTCTCCGGTCACTCGCGGAAAAATAACCAGGCCAAAGTTTGATTTTAATGGCAATACCCTTGCCATGCAAGCCATGGCTCTATACTGCCGATTTGCACCATTTTTGAAAAGTGGGCGGGGCTTCTCCGAAGTGGGCGGAGCCTCTCATAGTGGCTGGGCTTAACGGGGCAGTCCAAAAATGCAAAAATTTTGAGAAAAAATATGCATATTTACGCCAACAGCAATGTGGGCGTGGCCAAAGGCGGCGGAAGGCCTAGTTGCGGGTGAGATGGATGCGCTGTACTAACGAGCTTGCCTTCGTCGTGCGAAAGAGTAGATGCTGAAATTGAAAATGAAAACGTTATGAAAGATTAAAATGTCGCAACAAACGTAAAGAAGGCGGAGTCAGTCATGCTGTTGAAAATCTATGTCCGCGCTGACAAGTAGGCGTGACCGTCGGGGCAGGGTTCGCGGTGGTGTCTGGCGTGATTTGGTTGGCGAACTGCCTGCCACTCTAGAAGGTATGAGTTTTGGTTTGAGAAGTGGTGAATTTGCTTTGAAAAGTGGTGAATTTGGTTCGAAAAGTGGTGAATTTAAAGTGAAAATGGTATATATGTACTAAACCGGCCCCTTGCAACTACACCACCTCCTCCTCATTCAAATTACCGTGATGTTTTCAATTGTTTTAAATAAATTGAGCGATAAAATAGATGAAAGATACAAACTGAAGGTATGGATGTTTTAGAGAAGAACGACACTGGGGTGTTGGATCTGTTCATTCGAAGAAACTGCGACCGGGTAAAGTCAAGGTAAAGGCTTTATGGACTATCCTTCTACCAGTTACCCATTTATTTTCTAGTTCTTTGTAGGTTATATCTTTAGCCTGTTGATGACCCAGAGTGTATCGTATTTCAGAACCTAAAAGATCGATTGCTTGGAACAGTTCAGTCGAATGAGGCAAATCTGATCGAATGCGCCATCGGAGAAGCGAAGTACGAGCACGTGTATCGATCACTTGTGTGGAGAATTCCACGAATCCCAGAGAAACACCATGCGGCTTATAAATCGCATCTGCTCAGGTAATTTGGGCTGACAATAGAAGCTTCCACGAATTTTTTGTGTCCATATCAAGCCGTGTAGGTTAAATTTTCTAAATATCCTCAGCGACCATCGAGAAGTAGATTCTCGATCATTAGCTAACGTCCCAAGTTCTCCAATAGGTGGGCGGAGTCGTCCGGGGCGGAGTCAAGTGTGGCAATGTGTGTAGCCAATAATGTACATACATATTTTGGGGCGAGCTTCCCATGAGGTCTACTGTGTGCAGGGGTGGTACCGACGGCGTTTTGCGCAGGAATGCAAAAATCGCTTTGCGAGGGAATACATGTATAGAAGTGTAATGTGTGCGAATCGTGAAAAGGGGGCATGGCAACTTGGGCGGGGGTCCCCATCATATCTGCGTGGAGGTCGCTTCGTGAAACAATGCTTGATTGCTACATGAAAGATTTTCAAGCTCGGCTCACAATCTAGAAAATTTTTCTCTGCAAGCTAGTCAAAATTGGCTCCGAGAGGGCCATCCGCGTTTGTGGAGTGGGCGGAGACATCCAGCCATTGTGCTTTCTCATCGCTATTGCCCTCTTTCTAAGACGGTGGAGAGAATGGACTCGTGCTAACGAGAAGGGAGTGAATGTGTTTTTCCATTTATCTTCTTGCCCACTCGGTTGGGAGACGGTCTGGACAACCGTACATAGTTTCCCGCCTGGTCGCGCGCGTCATTTATAGGCGCGACGTCGTGCCGCGTCCACCAGCGCGGCAGTTGGGATTGTCTTGTCACTTGATTGAATTGTATTGATTGTATTGCAATCAACTTGGCCGTTTTCGTAAGAAGTAAGCAGCATGTTCAGGGTGGGATATCGCGCGGCCGTGCGCGGTGTCCTTGTTGTTGCGCGATGACCCCGCCCGAGCGTAATGACATACTGTTATAAATTCGAGAATATTATGACTCTGGAAGGCTCAGACGATGTCAGGGATGGATCTTATAATATGACCATTGGATGGTTTATTCCAAAAAGATGTTTTTAGATGCCGTTTCGAGCTGTCCTCATTCGATTTGATGCCTGAAGCATTCATGCCACGATGCGATGTTGATTTCACTATGCCGCTGGCTACAGTATCAAATACAGTAGTACGATCGGTGTCAGTTGAACAGCACGAGGACTCAGACCGAGTGGAGAAGTTCGTTCGATACGTTGCCAAGTGCCAGTACAAGGTTTGCATAGTTTTCCCCTAGGTTGCCTTCCACAAATCGGGTCAGGAACTCAGTTGTTCAGGTGGAAATCGACTATGTGCAGTGCGCTGATCTAGAAGTTGACACTATGGATCCAACGACGAATCCCGATGAAGCGATGGCCACCGTGCCCGAGTTGCACCAACCAGCCTTCCAACCTGCTGAGATCGAGCAAGTTCACGAGGGGTGAGTGCAATATGAAAGGAAAGGAGAGTCTGGGAAGATCGTATTTTGGAAAAATTCTTTTTTCCAATAAAGATAAATGCGGAAGCTATTTTCGCCGTTGGGGAATATTTCTGCGAATACCTCCCTCCACCCAAATGTCCTACTCTGATGAGATCCCCCCCCCTTCTCCATTCACCATCCACTCTTTTTCCGAACATTCCTCCATATTTCCACGAAAAATTGCTGTGAGAGGGGGGACCTTGAATAGCGCACTTAAACAAAAAGTTAAGCGATCGAGAGCACTTGTCTTCTGAGGCTAATAACGCGCTGCCGCTCCCTCCCGGCGACTCAGAAACCACGGCTGTCTTCGCCCTTGGGCAGTCACCCATATCACGAGTTGCCCTCGGTTGTGGCTTATTTCAGCCCGCCCAAGCGAGGAACATTGCAATGAGTTCGCATCATAACTGACTCCTCCCAAACCTTCATGGGAAAGGTCGCATATAACTTTTGTGGAACGAAACCCGTCGAAGAATAGCGAGTCGTCGATTAGAGCATGTCGTATGCTTGGATTTCCAGAGGGTGGTATTCGCCGTTGGAAGGTTGGGCCTTAGTATAGCAAGAGACTTCTTTTCGATCTCGTGTTGTTTGTTTTTGTTCCCACGCCCCGCTTTGTATCTCTCCTCGCGGGAAAAGAAAGTCTTATCAAGGGCTGTGGGTCCCTGCAGAGGGTTAGGGCCGTATTTGCGGTTGCTGCGAGGAGGAGGGTCTTCGCCTTATACGAGGACGGGTCCGCGCTTGATAAATTTTTGCCCATAGCCCAGAGGAGTGGCAAAAAAAAAGTTGGAAGGAAAGCCTGAAAAAAGCGATTCTAGCATTTTGAGATAGTAGATGACAGGGGTGTAATACCCACTCGCAGCTGCCCTTCCACAGGCACCTTACCACTCAACGACAAAAGCTCGCTGGAAGTTTAGTAGGATAATCAAATTGACTGGGTGTGTCTTGTCCCAAAGAAAACGCCCTAGCAGTGATCAGGAAGCTCAAGAGAGCGGACGAGTGAATTCTTACCAGATGCCAAGACGATGTCCTGCCGTCCATCCCCTGCGTCTGCATTCCACCATATGTATATGTAAAGCGCGGAATGGAGTAAGTATCGAACCAAAATAAATAATAGCCGAGAATGAGAGGGCCAATGCGCCTGTCGATTCTTACCATAATTGCCCCGCCCGCTCCACTCTGAACGCATGCGGCAGGAGAGGTTCAACCATTAGAGCCCGCTCTGAGGCAGTAAAAAGAGAAGGCGCGCCGACGAGGAAAAAACGCTCAGATGGACCAAACGTTTACTCTTCTATTAAGCCACAGATTTATTCGCAGTTTGGCTGTGTGCTGGCATTCTGCTTAGTTTCCTATCGAGTACTGCGATACATCCTTCTGTAGAACCGCTAACTTCAGGTGCAGATGTGCAAAAATGGAGCTCCTATTCAAACGAATGGGAGTTTCTAGATCATCAACAAGTTGTGACTTGTAATTCAACAAGATCTAACAAAAGAAATCAGCGAAAATGTAGAATGCCCCTCCCAAGCTGATCAGCGCTCTCTTTACCATGCTTTGACAGAATAATTTGTTCAGATATCGAATCGAGTTCAACGATGCTGAGATAGGTCGAACTCAACGTGATGAGGATTCGAGCTCAGATGACGACGATGACAAAAGTCATAAAATGCCAATCATTCAAATAGACATGAAGAATTATGGATATTAGCCGTTGGCACTTATGTTAGTCCAGTGTTAGGTCTGTAAAACATAGACCATAGACAAGTAGAGAGATTACGCTGTAAATGCCATTAATTGTTTTGCTTTTTATGTTTTTGCTACAGTCTTGTTCGCTGTGGATGATGGGGCGTGTCAAGGGTGGGGATGGGTTTGGCGCGGCGCCGACCCGTTTTTTTTTTTTTAAGTTTCTTCCGGCAAGCGACGACAAGGTGACATGTCGCTCATATCAGTCGTTGTTGTCGCTTACCCGCTTCAAAAACTGGTGGAGAACCGCTGGCGGCGCACCAAAGCTAGCCCCCTGACACGCCCCTTCTTTCGCGATGAACAAGACTGTATATCTCCTGATGATCTCAGTTCTCTCACTTCTCACCGTCATGAAATCATCCACTTTTTGATCTCGAATGGTTGTGTCCATAATCGGCAATTCGCTTCAATTCCAGCGTTTGCCGCGACGCGTCTCGCAAACGTCTCATCCTCGTATTGATCAGAAGTCACAAATTTTTATCACTAAGTTATTTATTTGAAGATTTATTGTTAATATTATTGACACAAAATTGTCCAATAATTATTTCGCCTAGCAATAAACAAATTACGCCTTCTAGCTGGATCGGCGCTGTCTCTGATTTTCTAAGTTTATTCAAGGTACCCTTCATACCCCGGGGATGGGGAGGGCGTGGCTGCGTGCTTCATTTGGACGTGGCGCGGCTGCGATTTTGGTGGAGTATTTTCTTTCCGAGGCAAAATAATGCATTTGCTCAGCACAAGACGGAGATGACAGTTGCTCCAAAAGGAAATGTCCCCCAAAAAACACCCTACTTCTTGTTCAAAAGGAATATGCAGCCACGCACTACCTATTACCGAGATGAAGCCAATGCTGCCCAAGCTGTTTGCATGAAAGTAGGCTCACCATTGTGATTCCCTCAATGGAGCTTCCTCCCCTTCAAGATGGTGGAGAGAAAAGGCGTGCCAACGAGAGAGTCCAAATGCGGGTCCGACTCCGCCCATAAATCATCGTGAACCTTACGGCTCAGCACTACAGTCAGTTCGTGGTGTCAATGTTATCGTCAAGTGTCAATTCATGTGCACAACGCCTTGCCTCAACTGAGACCCGAGCTGCGCGTTCAAGTTTGGTTATGGAAAAGAATTACGGTAATACATGACCGTTGAAACTTCTGATATTGCACCCGCTCGGATTCCGTTGAGGCAATGCGTTTCGCCCAAGACTCAACACCCTTGCGGTCAGGAGACGTCTTACTTTGGAGATCCTCAGCGAAGAGGATCGTATTTGGTTGCTGGGGGATACGGCCGCAGTTTTTGGTACCCGGCTATTTCTCAGTTTCTTCTTTTCCGGGTGCGCTATATCCACCCCAATCCCCATTCAGTAGTAGTTTTTTCGGGGAAAAAAGGGGAATGTTGGAAAAAAACTCGTAAAAAGGGGTTATTGAGAAAATTTGGGAGGGTGGTAGGAAATATGGAGGTAGGCCATGGAGCGGTAAGGAGTTCAGATTTTGGTAAGGAGTTCAGGGGTCGTGTGCTGCAAAACGGCCCAACGACAGGAAATGGCCCACTTGTTGTAGAATTCCTCGCCCTATACAACAGTCCTCCTGATTTTTTAAAGTTTCTCTTTTCACTAATATTTAAGTGCTCAAACTGGAGTGTCAGGTCAACGAAATTGAGCATTTTCGACAGCCTCAATATTTCACCTCTAATTAAAAAGCTGAAACCGCACAGACCCCTTTGCTAAGTATATGGCCATGAGGCTACGTCTCTTAGGATGCTTAACAATGTTTTACCCGATTCGAAGATTTCAATTTTGACCTCATAGACAAGCATCGAACCTAATGCCCTATTGAATCCAACTGAAAGCTAATAAATTACCTTATTTTCGGAGATTCATGCCGAAGATTGAGGAATCGTTAGAGGTCATGGAATTCTTCCTTACCATTATCAAGCACCACCCTTAGTTGATGTTAGACGTTCAAAAGTTAGGGGGGACGTTCTGCAGACAGTCGCTCCCTAAGGAGCGCCCTATGCGATTCATTTACAAGGTCCGAATTGCCACCTCTTGATCGCTCGAACCAATTCAAGCTGTCATAAGAAGCGTCACTCCTTGGCCATATATGTCACAAGTTTTGAGCTTCTTCTGTGATCTGAGAGCCGAGATAAACTGCAAAAAGCTGTTGTCGAAAACTCACTTTTGGGTCGACCCGAATTTCCCTTTCAATGAAATAAAAATCGGCAAATATCAAGAAATAGTAGGAAAGCAACCACATTATTTCAAGAGCAGAAACTAAATAGTGTAGAACATATTGGGGAAAAAGTTATCACTTTCCATATAAAAATTTGCATGAGAAAAAAGCGCTATTGCTAATGGGCCAACCCAATACATGTGGGACTGTGACTGCACCAAAAAAGAATCGTAGCAAATCTGAGCTCACTTCGTTACCTTGGAGAATGAGATGGTCTAGTGGCAAGAGCAGGTTCACCACGTGCGAGATCCAGGGTCAAATTCTGGATCGGCTTCCGCCCAGGCTAGTCAAGCCTTCTGCCCTCCGGAGAATTTGTTTGGTACCAGATTCGTCTGGAAGGATTAGAACATTGAGTTGTACATCACTTGCCCCCGCAGGTCATTGTCATTATTGTATAAGCCACCTCAACACCTCCTTCTCCGCACAGCCACATTTAATGAGCCATTACGTTTCTGAATGGAAGTTAAATGTGCATCGCACTCCAAAAAGAGATTTCCGACAAAGACTCTATCATTTTATCTTAGGTGGAAGTGGAATCGTTTTTCAATATATCATTTTTCAATATGTAGTGTCGGAAGAACTTTAGTTTCTGATTTATCCTAACAGCTGTCCTGCACTTTGGGTGGCACTCACCAGGACCAGGACTGGGGCTACATATGTGAATGCTGGATGTTGAAGTCCCCAGTACGTTTAGTGTAACAAGAAGGCAATATTCCAGTGAAACTCCTTGATCGGCTGGAGGGGTTGTACATCTACATATGTACTAACGGTGGACCCTAGGCTCACAGAAAGAGGAGGTGCCCCATAATATAGGTCTACTCCATATCCTTAAGACGTGACAGGCCAGGCTGGTACGTCATTTGAGCATGGCTTAGTGTGGGTTAATCGTGAGATAATCCAAATTGAAAAAGCCGCATCCCACCCTGTGTTGAAAAGGGCATGGTTGCAATTGCCCGAAAAGAAAATGTCCCACCAAAAGCGCAGCCACCACCACATTCCAACGAAGTACCGGCGCATCTCAGAGGCAAATATAATATATTTTTCCGCTCAGCTCAGCCTAAAGAGGCCCTTGAGAGCTGCAGCGATGAAGAGATCCATCGCTACACCATAAGTATAAGAGGTTGCATAAGGTATCTCACCGCGTTCAATGGCTCGGCTTCTGGGTAGAATTGGATTGCGTGTCGCATCCTAGGTACCGGTCCACGCCCAAAAGCGTCAAGCTTTCTGGTTGAATTCGACTCGTGGTAATAAATGCGACTATTGGAGGACATTGTGTGTTGGCAAGCGGCGCGCTCACCATAGGAGGGGTCAAACTCCAGATCGGCTCCGTCCGGGCTAACCATCTCACTTTTTTTTTCCTCGGGACGGGGTGAATGGTTCCTGATCAAGGTAGTCCTCCGAATTGGAAAACTTTGCGAAAAAGGCTACTCTCCGCCAAAAGTTGCTCTCTGTACGACCTCGCCCCTTCCTTACCTCATGCTCTTTCGCTAGAATCTCGTGTCTTCTGATTCCCTAGTACATTTCCGGAGTGTTCTTTTTCGAATTCATTCGAGAAGCTGCGGATGAAGATAAAAACACTGACTTGTACATTGGCTGGCCTCCGTAAGCCACTGTAAAAGCCACATCGCATTCGATAAGCCACTACGATTCTGAATGGAAGTAGAACGCACGGCGCATCTGAAACGAACGTGATCAGTACGTGAAAGCAGTGTCTCATATCGTGAATCCATCTTAGAGAGTATGATATGGTTACGTAGAGTAGTTCCTATGGAAATAAATATGTATTGCGGCACTAATAAAATACCCTCGCTAAGCCGAGTTGAGCATAATTAAAGGAGCAAATGCTAGAGCAATCCTAGCTGTTGAGCAACTAATTCCATTTCTCTAATAAAGTGATGAGAGTATAGACGCAAGCGCTTGAGAAGCAGGACATAACACTGAGGGGGATTCCTCAACGCAGGAAGGGAAGGGGTCTCATGGCAAATTTTTGATTAATAATTTTTCCCGTTTCAATTGCGCTACATATATAGCCCACCGCGTGCGCGGAATATGTCTGTCCATTTCTGTACGTGTTCTTACATAGGCACATCGTTGTTGGGGAATCCCCAATAGGGGGGGGGTCGTATTTGAGCTGAGAAAATTTATTTTGATAGTTGATTTTTCTCGCTTTACGTACGTTGTAAGTGGGAGGCGGGTGGGGTGGTCGTACTTGGTCATTGTTTGTAGGGGTCGTATTTACGTTTTGGCGTTGTAGGAGTGGTGGTTGACTTTTGGTGATTTTCCTGTTTCATGCGTACTATATGCCCCTCCCCCCCCCTCCCCGCTCGACGGCTCGATTCGATGAGGAACAGAGGGCTGGAGGGAGGGGCACGTACCAACCCCCCCCCAAAAAAAGGGGAGGGGTCGTACAGACTCGAATAAAATCCCCAACAATGATGTGCCCTGTTCTTACCATTCCTTATAGCTTGCACGAAAGCCAATGAGCTGACCATGAGAGTGCAACAGTGACCCCGGTGGCGCAGTGGATATCGCATTCTCCAGCGGAGGGTTCGAGTCCCGCATGGGGCACGGGGCACGTCATCATTGGAGATTCCTCAGGGGATCATATTTGGTCTGGGTATTCTTTTTGATATTGACTTTTCTTGTTTTATGGACGCTATAAAGGGATTCGTACTTGGTCGTTGTTGGGAAGGGGGAGGTCGTACTTGGCCATTGTTGGGAGAGGAGTCGTGTTTGCCCT